AACTCTCTTTCACTTCACTATGATCTTCTGTTTATATTTTTGTTTATAAAAGGCTTTTTAGGATCAATTTAACTGTTAAACTCAGTAAAAAAAAATTAAAACAAAAACACTAATCCTCGGTTTTTATTATATTCATTTAACCTTTATTTATACAGGTTAATAAGCCCATTGAGCCTCGGGGACCCATTTACAAGAGAGACTTGATTTTAACAAAGAGTGATGACAACAATAGACAATCATAAAATAAAGCATTGAGAAGAACAAATTAAAGAAAATGGTATTAAAAAAACAAAAAAACGAAACAAAAACAGTTAGGTTGTAAAGCGATGTAGAAAACTAAAAACAGGAACGTGTCCATGTTGGTATTTGCCAGGAACTTAGCAGATATTTGAAGCCACTTATGGAGCTTCTTATATCTTATCTTCATCTTTATTTAATAGTAAATTTAATTATGAATGACTTTTAATTTCTATTTTCTAATGAAAAGCTAAAAGTACAAACAAAAGAAGACAAAAATAAAGCAAGTATAAAGCTGGTTAAACAAAACGTTGTTTAATAAAGTTAGTAGCTATTACTTTTTAAAATAAATGCTATTTTTTAGCTTCCATGAGAAGAATATTTGTATATTAACTTAAATATTTTGATAAGTACAAAAGTTACAAAAATCAATGCAGCTCATCTCCTAAATGATCTGAAGATTATATGAATGACTTAAAATGGTATGCAGAAAGTAGATGGCACATTCCCACAACAATACAAGTAAATAAAATGTATGACTTCCACTCTGACACGTCAAAGTAAGTATGTGGGTGTAAATGATCAGTGAACTGATCAGTATATTAATATTTATGCTGTCTTGAATGCACTTTCCTTTCACATTCCTATGCAGGCAGATGGGTGACACATGCAGTAAGTACAGTTCCTCAGTGAACACAGTCAACCCGGAAGAATAAACAGACTGTGTCTTAATTATCAATCCAAAATACATCTCCCTTGGTTACATTTGTGTTCAAGTATGGATTACAACATTTCAGCTCACCAAGAATGACTGTGTGCTTTCTGACAATGAGAAGTGCCTCAAACATTGTTTTATTGAAGATCTGTATGAACAAATAAAGGCTCGGCTATTTTGTGTCATGTTTGCTCCAAGTTATGTGCAGAAAGTGTCAAGAGAATAAGCTTAGGCCAAAGCCAAACACATTCATCAAAAAAAAATTATGGTTTGTATTGTATGCATTTGGTAAACTCTCTGTAAGGGGTGTGTATGTGATCAAGTACCTGTAGTTAACAAAGAGAATCTTATCTGCAATCAGATCTGTGGACTCGTTTACAGCGTACTGTATTGATGGTACTCAGCAGCTGCAAGGTGGCAGCTGTCAAGCTTTGTGCACACACAGAGCAGGCTATAAATTATTTAGACTCCAGGTTAAAGATTGCTCCCAGGCCTGAGGTCATGCCTTTTCTGCATGTACACCATCTATCTTCGCTGTTGTCCCACCTGGATGCTGTGTTTCTCTGTGCAGCAACATAGCAGGTTGTCAGCCCTCCCCTTCATATGGCTCACAACGCACCTTGTGTGTGAGCAGATTTTCTGCTTACTCACCAACCTTTAGGCTGACAACTGCAAGGATCTGCAGTGGGGCACAGACACACATCAGTGCACATGAAGTCCTGCTTTGTGCATGCTTGTAAAATGTAGGTCATAAAGAGCACAGCACTGGTAAATTTTAAGTGAATTTAATGTGAAAATCTAATTTATTCGTGAAGGTATTTTGTTAGATTATCTTGTTTATTTTTATTAAATTGTGTTTCATTTATTCTTGATTTATTCATCATTATAAATTTTCTTTTATTTTCATGTTCTTCATTATTCTAATAGTTTTTAAAGCGTCGTATAAAACAGTGTCTTGCCTTTAAAAAGCCCTTTACAGGTATGTCGAAGAAAAGACTGTGAGAGGGCATTAAAGCTTTATTTTTAAACAGGGCGGAACCAATAGTCAGTGGACTTTACGGACGAAATTTTGTGACGCACAGAAGGCGGGACTTTCTACAGATTGACTTGCGCTGGACAAATGGGAGCGCTGAAAAATACCAACGATTAAAAAAAAACAGAAAAGAAAAGAAAACAGCATGGGTAGTAGGAAAGATCAAATAGTGGGTTTAATTCTTTTCAATGAAGGGTTCGTAGAACATGAGTTAAATGTTAGGCTGTCAGTATTTATCTGCTAAAATTACTTTAGTTCGTCTGATACAAGCTAGCAGGTGAAAGGAGTGTTGGCTCGTTGTTGACAGGATGCTGCCACTTTCTTCTGCTTATCGTGGGATATTCAGAGCTGCGATTCTCAAACTTCAGACAAGGTTTATCTTATATTTCAAGTTGACCTAATATTACTAAACTCCGCTAATAATGATTGAAAGATATCTGGTGTTCGTATGTTATCGGGTTTAATTTTCTATTATTCTATGGACCATGTTTGGTTAATTTTTTTTCGTGCAAAGTGTTGGTAAATATTAACACTTTCCTATAACAGTGACTCTTAAAGACCCTTTATTTGCATAATTTTGCTCGGTGTAAAATATATAAGTGCAAAAGTTATTTAATTCTCATCAGTTCTTTATACCTTGCTTCCAAGAAGCTTTGTTGTAAACTTTTAAAATGTTTCCATCAATAGTTCCCTGGACTTTCTTAAGCATTTTATGTTTGGCTGCTGATGTAGTGACATGTCTAACAATTCAAATTAATAATCCAAGGCCATCTCTTATCTCCAGAAAAAGCCTCTGTCTCCTCCGTCTCCTGTCTACTTGTGATGGAGTACAGGTTGGGCTGGCGGATGCGGACACCATCTTTGCGTTGTCATCAGGTCATGGCAGGTGTGGGGTGGCTGTGGTACGTGTCAGTGGTCCTGCCTCAGCTTCAGCCTTAAGGTCTATGGTTGGGCTCACACACTGCCTGCCTCCTCCACGAACCGCCCTGTTACGTAGCATCACAGACCCCTGCTCCAAGGAAGTGCTGGACCGTGGACTTGTCCTGTGGTTTCCAGGTGAAATAAATACAGTTACAATTCATTTATGGTCAGCATTACTTAGTTTTCAGTGTCCCGCAAGATTGTTTCATTTTACATGTCCAAGATTTAATCAGTCTTTAATTTTATATATCACTTTGTATTGGCTTTACTTTGCTACGTAGATTTGATCCTTTCAGGAAAATTATGTAAGTCAAACATTAATGTATGTACATGTCCGAGACAAATGGAGTTCTGTATTATGTTGAATGTAACATCAATATAAATCATAGTTTTTTATCCTTCTCTCATTCCAGATATCCTCTTATGTTCACAATGGTTTGAATTTTCAAGTCTTTTTGGTGTCATCCACTTACATTGTTAATAAAATAAAATAAGAGGGGGAGTGGTGGCGCAGAGGTTAGAGAGGTGGGCTTGTGATCTGAAGATCGCCGGTTCACGCCCCGGCCCCGACAACATCAAAATTGTGGGTGGGGTAGGTGAAACACCCACACTTGCCCCCACCCTCATTCGCCCCACTCTGGGCCCATGAGCAAGGCCCTTAACCCCCACCATGTGCTCCCTAAACAGGTCTCTCTTGAAAATGAGTTCTCGTGGCTCAATGAGACTAACCTGGATAAATAAAGGCTAAATGAAAAAATATATATATATATATGAGTAGCACATTTTGAACAAAGATCAGATACTAAACTTTATCTCAAAAGTGTAAGGAGTGTAGGCTTATTATTCAAATAGCTTCAAATAGCTAAAGAATACTGTTAATATTATTCTTCTGCTTTTGTCATCAGGTCCTCATAGTTTCACAGGAGAAGACAGTGTAGAGTTTCACATCCACGGTGGTCCTGCTGTCACTACTGCTGTTTTACAGGCTCTAGGTAAAAACTTTAACTGATACATATTTATTGAAAAAAAGGCATCATAAACAAATTTAAACTTTTATGTGGTCATCATCCCTTTCAGTGTACCAACGTATATGCCTCTAGCTTCAATTTCCCAAGCTGTAAGCCTTCAAAAGATTTATTAACACCCTATCTGGTCAAGTCATGTGACCATCTTTGCATGACTGAAAAGAGAAAACATGCCACATCACATGCATTTCTATTGCTAAGATGCTTAAAATAATTGCACTGGCAGGCATAGCAATCCGTTTGTGATGGGCAAATAATGTTTCACTGTAGTCCCCCTATTTGTGAGTTAGAGGGCAGTGTTGTATAATGCAAAGCAAAAAGCCTCCAAGCATTTATGTATTGGGAGATTTTTATTATTCAAGAACATTTATGTGACACGTTACCTATACAGTGTTGGTCAAATTATCTCCAGCTACTGTAGTTTACAGTATTTATTATAGCTCAAAACCTCTATTTCCCAAATGGTTTTGTGTTTTAATCTTCTGCTAATGAGATTTGAAAAATGGTTGAGAGAACAATACTCGCATGACCTACAATAACCTGCAGATGTGTTTGTTGTCATGCCCAGTGAACCCCGAGTCACATCCTGGCACTATGGTTGATCCTGCTCTGTGTGTGTGCGTTTTGTGCGCACTATCGAAGCATACGTTGAACCGTTCTTTTTTTTTTCATGTTTTTGTTTGTGTGCATGTATGTTTTGCAGGAAGCGTGCCTGGCATGAGGCCTGCTGAAGCTGGGGAGTTCACGCGGAGGGCTTTTCAGGCAGGGAAGCTGGATTTAACAGAGGTGAGTTAGAGAAGCGTGCAAAACGTGATGAATCTGATTTGTGCTTGTTTGTGTGCCATGAGCTTTTTGGAGTTGTGTTAGCCTACAGGGTAAGAATTAAGTTGGGTCAAAACTGAACAGAGATTTCAATATGCAAAATGTAAACAGAACAAATTCACATTTTCACATATTTGCCCTTTGGCATTTGGATCATTGTATTGTCAAAGGTTCATGCATAAATTCAACTACTGGGCCTCTGCAGAGTCATGCTTTCAGGTATTCAAATATTCAAACTCATGCATTAAACACCTCTGCTGTCAGTGTATTATTCTTGTTTACAGTGAATTGAATATACAAGTATAAGCTGCTGAAAACTCTGTTTATGAAAGTAAAGAGCACAATGCAGAGAACAAAAAAACAATAATAAATATATATATATATCTCTTTTTGTATATTTCTCTATCTCTCTTTTTATATATATATATATATACACACGTGTATGTGTGTGTGTGTGTGTATGTATGTATGTATACATGTATACGTGTGTATGCGTGTATGTATACGTGTATATATACGTATGTATGTATGTATGTATGTATGTATATATATATATATATATATATATATATTATATATATATATGCACACACATATATATTTAATACGTGTTATAAAGTATAAAAATAGTTAATTTCCCTGAAATATATTGACAAATAAAATACAAAGCAACAGCAGGTAACAGTTATTTCAAACTACCGGTAATGGAAAGCATTACAATTTTACAACCAATAGTCTTTTAATGATTATTGACTCTTCAAATAAGATAAAAATATTTATTTAAATACTGTTTATGAACATAAATAAACATAAATATTTCCTATTATAAATCTACCATTCTGCGTGTAATATACTCAGGCTGCTGTTTAATATACTGTATTATTTTACATTATTAGTGTTTAGCGTATATTATATATATTTAGCATATCATTTAGCATTCGTCTAGCATATATCAGTGTATATCTTAGATCCTTATATACTTTTTCTTTTTATACTTCATATTTTTGCTATTTTTGGGTGTAACTGGGACCTTGAGCACACAATTTCATTCCACCTCATGTACCACATGTGATGCGAATGACGATAAAGAACCTTGACCTTGTAACTCTTTTTGAAGGTGGAGGGCCTCAGGGATCTGATCCACGCAGAGACCGAGGCTCAGCGGAGACAAGCTCTTAGACAGATGTCAGGAGAACTGGGACGACTTTATCAGGACTGGAGCCACAAACTGAAGCGAGTAAGTCTTCTGTTGCATATGAAAATGTTTGCATTATGGATTGTAGTTTGTGCTGCAGCAGCCAGTCCAGTCATATCAGAGGCCCAGGTTTTTAGTCACATTTTGAGTTCATTTTTATTTCTAATGCTGAAATAAAAAAAAAGATCAATGTCCTTTTTAAATGGCATAATAAACTTTTGATTAAACTGACGAACAGCAGAAACGTACACATTTATGTCTTTTGTGCAGGATTTATTCAACTGTGCTCAAACAGATTGATTTATTTGGTTTTAGAATCAAAGCACTGCTCTTCATTTGAACCAACGTTGACCAGTTTTAATCCTGAACCAAATTCTCTGTGACTCGGTGGTTGCTTGGTGGTCCGTCTTGTAATCCTGAGGTTTGAGCCCAGGTTGAGTCAAGAAAGGCATCCCGTGTAAAACAAATTGCCAATGTTTTCATGTGAGTTCACTCGCTGTGGTGACCCCTGAAGAAAGGAGCAGCCAAAAGAAACTTACTTACTGTGACTCGTAGTTAGAGCTGCCGTCCTCCAACATGAACCTGTATTTTTTTATAAAGTACTTTTCCATATGAAAATAAAATAGGAAGCCATTGGTGCAACAATAATAAGTTTGCATAGAGTAAAGTAATATCGGTCTCTAATCTGATTTTCAGTTTCCCCCTCATCTGAAGATAAATGTTGTTGTTTAAAGTAATATGCTGCACAGGAATGACCTCTTGTACCTGTTGTATTGCAGCCAAACTCCAGACAAAATCTTTTTGTTAAGTGAGCAGAAAGTTGCGTAGAGGGAGCTCGTGTTTCCTCCATCACGTCATTCCTGTTTGGACAACAATATTCTGAATGAGCATCAAAACAGAAGCAAGCAAAGCCTCCAGAATGTTCCCTGATGAGATTTTGGAAAGAACCAGTTTGTTCTGCTCTATAGTTCAGACCTCAAGGTTTTTGTACCAACACAATGCTGTAGCTTTTTTTTTTTTTTTTAATCTGTACAGCTGCCTTTAAGGGAGTAACAGACTTCCTGTTTTCATGTTGCTGCAGTACATGTGGTACGTGTGTTTGTGTGTAATACTTAGAGTTAAAAAAAAATAACACATGGCAACATGCACTCCATACTCAGCTAAACGTTAATGATTTATTAATACATATACTTATCCTCTAAACATTTTAAAGACATAAGTTTGACTATATTGCTTTTTTAATGTTTAAAGGTCAGTAAACACAAAAGCTCTTTGTACTTCTGTTCTTGCAGCTGAGATATTCTATTTTCTGAAGAAAACGAAATCAAAAAAGGTCCATCGTTGCAGCTAACAAATCCTTAAAATGTTCCATCTTTTAGCATCTATGAGTTGTGTTTGGATTCATAATTAGTGCCATACTTTGTACCAACTACACCTGCCATGTACTGTTATTCTTATCTGTAATGTGTCATGTGTAGGTTGTATGTAAAGGTGGCCACAAAGTACAGTGTCCTTAAGGGAAGCAAAAAGGAAGAGTTAATTTGATGCTGCTGTGAAAATCTGCACTAGCAGTTAGCAGTTATTGCTGCCAGTGCTTTGTAATAAAATGATAAACACTCATTTTAGTTTGTAATATTAAAGCCCTCTTCATATTTACTGCTTTTCTCTCTAAAATTGGTCACAAATGAGCACTAATATTTGTCTTATTTACATTTAAACCTGATAACGGTGAACTTTTTCCCACTTTTGCTGTTGTAGTGATACAGTACAGAAGGTCAGTGACCACAGCTGAACATTTCATCTCAGTGGAAGGTGGCCAAAGCTTCTCGCACTGTGAGCTGTTTTGGCACCAGGGCTGAGCGACCGATCCAGGTGTTCTCCCCGGAGAAGCTTTGTTGAGCTGCTTGTCAGCGGCTTTAATTTCTTAGAAGCGATTATTCCAACAGCCTGTCATTATTTTGAGCTCAGCCTTCTGAGAACGCAGTTAATCAGAAGTATGCAATCTGTATGATGACAGGGGTCAAATCTCTATGTGACACCGTAACAATGCTACCTTTTTAACCACTGGCTTCCCATGTTACTGAACGGGCCAAAGTGCTGGAGTCGGATGCTTCCTGTTTTTCTACAGCTATACTGCTATTGTGTGTATGTCCCACAATATTAGATTGTGTTTTAATGGAAATATTAAAGTGATTTTCCTCATGCAGTTTAGATTAAGATCAATGGCAAACAGGTTGCAGTGAGGCAAAGCTGCAGCGAGGCAAAGCTGCAGCTGGCGAGTTCAGGTGGGGTCTTGAAAAATTAGTTTTGTTTTAGTGTCTAAAAGATCTGTTGATCAGATACGTACAGTACAAGGTTCATCATTCTTTAAAACATCTGCTGCCTTTCATCTACAAGTTTTAGATGTATTACAACCAAAGTCTCAAATGTAAAGTGCTTCCCTTATACCTAAAGAGGAGTTACTCAAAAATAACTGAAATTCAGCCGATTTCTCCTGAGAATACAGGTTAATAATTAAGTCTTTTGTGTGTTGGCAGGTATTATTATTATTAAAGACAATATTGTATGCCATTTATATATTTTAAATCCCAGCCTTGTCAGAAGTGGGCATTTAAAAAACTTTATTCGGAAGATATAATCGCAGTTATCCTCTTAAACTCAACAGACCACAGTTAAAGTTCATGATAGCACAACTAAAAAAGACTAAAATATGTTTTACTGTATTTGGAAAGGTTGCTAAAATAAAACGTTCTTTATAAAAGAACGTACCGTGGTGCAGTTCCAGTTCAAGCTTGCAGTGTTTCAGTAGTTCCCAACCCTGGTCCCTGAGGAACACCATCCTGCATGTTTTAAATGGTAAAATGGACTGTACTTATATAGCGCCTTTATATCTTATCAAGACACTCAAAGCGCTTTACACTACAACCTGTGTCCTCATTTACCCATTCATACAGCTCTACTAGATCTCTACAAAGCTAATTGAACAAATCATTCTAAAGAGACTAATCGATGCTTGAGATCACATTCATACACCGATGAGACACACATCAGAGGCTATGAGGATTTCATTGTCTTGCTCAGAGACACTTCAGCATGTAACTGCTGGTGGATTCGAACCCCTAACTCTTGCATTGGAGGACGACCGCTCTAACCACTCAGCCACAGCCGCCCGTTTTAATTGTTCCCCTGGTCCAACCCACCTGATACAGTGATTTAATTACTTCTTCTGGTTTTGCAGAAGCCTGTTAATAACCTGTCCATTCAAATCTGGTGTGTCAAAGCAGGAAACAACTAAAACTTGCAGGATGGTGTTCCTCAAGGACCAGGGTTGGGAACCACTGTAATGTACCTGAACAAGCCACAGGACTTCTTCAACAATGTCATCTGGACAGATGAGACCAAAGTGGAAAATGTCTGACCACGAAACAACATTATGTTTGGAGAAAAACCAAACGGCATATCAGCACTGATGCTTGACACCAGTTAATAAGCATGGTGGTGGGGGTCTGATGATTTGGGCTTGTTTTGCTGCCGAATACTTTGCAGTTGTTTAGTTGGCAATGAGCTCGACTCAAACTGGTTCGTGCAACAAAACATTTGTCCAATGCGCAGCAGCAAATCTGCAACAGAATAACTTCAGTCTGTACCAGAACCGGACTGGAATGCTGCTGGGGGGTAAGTGCTGGGAAACTTTAAATAAAAACATGGACCAGATTTTCTTCACAATGGTGTGAGAAATTAATACGATCATAAAGAAGATGATGACCTAGCAGTTGGAGCAACACAGGTTTCTACAAGTCACTGAATTATGGGCTGCACTCATTTTATCACATTCTGCTGCGTTTTGACTTGATTTTTGTCACAGAGTCACACAGTACAATATTTAATGGGCTGTTGTTCATCTCATCTATTGCTAATTTATGACAGTATTATAAAATATATTTCCTCTCTTTTTTTTGTCGCAGTGTCTAGCCCACGTTGAGGCTTTTATAGACTTCAGCGAGGATGAGCTCATTGAGGACGGAGTCTTAGATCGAGGTGTGTTTTCATGCTGACGTCTGGGCTAATAAACAACAGACAAGTTATCCTCAGGGTTATAAACAGAACTGGAGACCAATACAGGCTTTGCTTTTATCTTGGAAAAGAAAATTACGAATAATTGTTTCTATCAGGGTTACTGGGACCAACCTTGGACATGAAGCTCCTCAGAAGACCACGTCTTTAGACAATGTGAAAAGCATTAATCTTTCCTTTAAAAATAATCTCAGGAACATTGTGTCAGCAGCACCAAAATGCCCAAACATTCTCTTAAGTGCCAGATTTCCCAGACTCTCCCTGTCTTTGTTTGTGCTACTGAGGGATTTTCCTTTTTTGAATCTGTATCCTGCTGTCTGGAGTTATCAGATCTCTTTAGAAGACTTAAAAAGATGTGAAAATTCAAAAACAAAGCAAGAGTTGGAAACAGTTGTTTCCATTAGTGGCACAGAATAGAACGCCACGTCTCAGAGGAGCAATTAATTATAGACTTGTTTCAAAATATATCAAAAGTTGGCATAAATCCTCTGTTTTCACCTACGTCAAATTATCTGCATGTGTTGCAGCATTTGTGGCAGGAATTACTGTGCTTAAATCAAACAGAAATGTCAGGAAATTATTGTATGGTTTGAAAGAAAAAATATTGTTGACTCAAAAACATCTTAATGCTCTGGTCTCATCGGGAAAGTCCATGATCCATGAAACCCAGACAAATGAACCAAATACCAAAGAGCAGAATTCATGTATTTATTCTTTGTCATGTGTCGTTCCCTTCAGATTATTTTTGTCTTTCTCCTCTTCCAGTGGACACTTCAGTGTCCGATCTGCAGGCAGAGATTGAGCAGCACCTGAAAGATGAGAGGAGAGGGGAGAGGCTTCGCAGCGGAGTCCATGTGGTCATCGCAGGAGCCACCAACGCAGGGAAAAGTAGCCTTCTCAACACTCTCTGTAAGAGCCAAGAACTCGACTGCACAGACACAAACACACAGAGGAAGGGATTAGGATTAAAAGAAGAAAGCAACGTTTACAAATTTGGACCTCCTTGTTGAACCTTAAAGCTGGCATCTGATGTTTGTAACGAATAAACCAGTATCGGTCATTTAGAAGCAACATGAACTCAGAAAAGTGTGATTATTTTAGAGTAAATAGTGTCCTTCATGCTCAGGAAAACAAGCGGTACACAATGTCCCCCGTCACCGAGTAGTGAATGTTTGTAGTTTTAGAAATAGGTGTTTTTCTGGACTGGAACTGAACCGCAAGTAAACCGTAATGTTGTTGGTGCAAGATATTCAAGTGTGTAGGAGTTGCACTGTAAAAGAATATAGATGTTTGTTTGTTTTTATTTTGCTTGTCTGAGTTGGCAAAGAGTGATAGATCCTAGTGAGGGGAGGGAGTGATTTTATCCACCACCTGGCACAATGATGGAGCTAGAGGGTGGCCAGTGGTGGCCTTGGCCACCATGGATTAATCTTCATCCACCGCAGTCATTTGAGGAAACTATATTTTTAGGCAATATAAATACTTTAAAGCATAGTCGGTTTACATATATATGTGGTGGTGGCCATCTTGGATTTTGATGTGGCATCCTGATGATTGATAGTGACCTTTCTTACACCAAGATGCAGCCACACAACAAATAGAAGTCGAAACCACTTATTTCCAAGTTATCCAGCTCACTGGACGGACAGACGGAGGATGTTTCTAATTCTCCTCGGCGCTCTGCAACGGGAGACAATAAACGTTTCCTTTACAGATAGGATTAACTGAAGGAAATTAAATCTACAGCCCGACTCTGAGATAACACACTGAATTTCTGCTATGATCAGGAGTGCAGTTGCTTTTTCTAATAAAAAGGTAATTTCATAACGTTATACCATGATCCCTTTATATTGCTCGCTGCCTAAAGGCAAAGGCAGAGCAATAATATTTTGTCTGTCTGTTACCGAAATATGTCGCTGACCACTGGACAAAATTTAATCTAAGTAAAGAACAAACACTTGCTGAATGCACATCTACAACTATGTCTAATATTTTGGAGCCAACTCATCTTTAAATGTTTTATTTGATTCACCTTTACTTACATTTGTATTTTTGTTGACACAACTGGTGTCAGCTTAATGAGACCCTTGTGTTTAAACACGATGTTTGTTTGAGATCTCGTTTCCTGGACTCATTTAGAATCGGTTTATTTACTGTAAACGCCCCAGAGCAGAAGCTTGGCAGGGGATCATCGAAGCTTCCCATCAGAATAATGAGTGTTTTTTGAATGAAATCAGATTGTCCTGTCCTGTTCAGGCCTCCTAAACAAACAGCAGGGAGGATTATGGGACGAAGATTACATAATGATGAATTGGACACACGTGTATAGAGGTCCTCAGATGAAAACAAAGCAGCTCAAAATAAATTTTTGCGTATCACCCAATGAACACAAACTTTGATTTGGACTATTGAACAGTCTTTTAATACGTCCCCACTTTATGCCACTGCAACAGCTTGACCTACAGACCGAGCAGGACTTCTGAAGATACTATAAGTCATGTGAGGAGAAATGAGTCGGAGCTGTTTCCTTCTCATCCCACCGACAAACAATAAGACTGAAGTTTGGGGAATTTGAAGGTTAAGATAACATGTTGACCTGTTTACCATCAGGTGATTGTTGAGTGGATGTTGCAACATGGTTGGTGAGAGCAGTGCTGTCAGACACAAATCCAGATGTTTAAAAATACAAACCGGATTCCAAAAAAGTTGGGACACTAAACAAACTGTGAATAAAAACTGAATGCAATGAAGTGGAGATGGCAAATGTCAATATTTTATTCGTAATATAACATAGATGACAGATCAAAAGTTTAATCTGAGTAAATGTAACATTTTAAAGGAAAAATATGTTGATTCAAAATTTCACAGTGTCAACAAATCCCAAAAACGTTGGGACAAGTAGCAATAAGTGGCTGGAAAAAGGAAATTGAGCATATAACGAACAGCTGGAAGACCAATTAACACTAATTAGGTCAACTGACAACATGATTGAGTATAAAAAGAGCTTCTCAGAGTGTCAGTGTCTCTCAGAAGCCAAGATGGTAAGACGATCACCATTTCCACCATTGTTGCGCAGAAAGATAGTGCAGCAATACCAGAATGGTGTTACCCAGCGTAAAATAGCAAAGACTTTTAAGTTTTCATCATACATTCGCTCAGTTTAAACTTTTGATCTGTGATTTGTGTTCTATTCTGAATAAAATATTTGATGTCGACACCTCCACGTCATTGCATTCAGTTTTTATTCACAATTTGTCCCAACTTTTTTGGAATCCGGTTTGTGTGTGTGTATATATATATATATATATATATATATATATATATATATATATATATAAGGCATTTTAAACCCTTCCTACACTATTTCAATATTCTAAACAATGTTTCTAAACTGTAAACGCTCTTAAAGAGCACAGAATGTCATGATTTCAGCTCCCTGCCTCTGGCTGCACCCTTGGCCACGCCCACTTCTCCGCTCTGCACCATCTGCTGCAGGAGGAAGCTTTCCCCACAGCTGTGGGCTGCACACAGGTGCTAAATCATTTAAAATAATTTATTTTAAATAAAAAAATCCATGCCGATCATGCGGCTCATCCATCAATCAGCCGGTTGTGTGTCATGTCCAATCTTACTTTGAAAAACCGCGATAGAGCGAGTACGCGAAAAACGAATCACAAAGCAGTGAGGGACAACTGTATTTTATTCTTACAACCTTTTAAACAATGGGACTTTGATGACGTTAAATTGATCTTGTGTCTTTTTCACAGTAATTTGCTTCTATCAAGACTTCATTACAGTTGATAATAGTAGAATCATAGTTGAGTTTTTTGGAAGTAAATAATTTTAAATACCACCAGCTTTGTTTTTATTTCTTCCAGGCAAGAGACCTGCAGCTATTGTGTCTCCCATCGCTGGAACCACCAGAGACGTAGTGGAGACGGCGCTAGACATCGGGGGATTCCCTGTCCTTCTGAGCGACACAGCTGGCCTCAGAGATAGCTCAGACCTGGTGGAGCAGGAGGGGGTTCGCCGAGCCCGAGAGAGGTAGGAGAGAGAAGCTCACAATTTAAAAAAAAAAAGTAAAATAAAATAAAAACCTAATATATCCAATTACCTTATTTTCCTTTCAAAGTCATAAAAACTGACATGATGAAGAATTTAACCCATAATTAACACCACAAATTAGTTTGGAGAATGCAGCATGTTCTGGACAACAAAGAAAGGAAGAAATGAGTCTTTTCTGTAATGTCTGTGGAGATGCCACAGTTTATATTACTGCTGAGACGGGGTTATAAATACATGGGACAAATACACTCAGGAGGTTGCGTAACGAAGAGCCACCTTTACTTCTTGTTGAGTTTTTCTTTTCAAGAGACGTTTCCCGTGTGGTGGACGGACTGGACGTATGCATGAGGCGATTCACTGATAGCTCCGTCTTGTTTACATCAGGGACAAATACTTGATGCTTTATTATTTGCAAACGGGGAGAGGAAAACACTGCAGCTAATGAACACCACTAAAGTAACTTTGACTCAGTTTGTTGTACTAACCTATGTTTTATTACACAATGAGGAAAGGTTTTACAAGCAGAGGAGAAAAATGATCTGCAGTTAACAAAAAAAACAAATGCATTTTAGTAATATGATTAGAATGAATGAGCTCTTAGTGTAACTTTTAGTGTTTAGTCAATAAAATATGTATCTTTTCTCTGTACTTAATTTCATTTTTTTAATATAAATCTATATAAAGACCTGATCATAAAATACTACATTTTGGTGTAAAATATTGCTCTTTTTGGCATTATTTGGGTGATTAGATGACTATATAGGAAGGGCGGGCACTTTATGTTCTATAGGAAGCTTGTGTGTGGGGAGCAGGACAGAAGCTTGTGACCCGGGTCACTACAGGAAGGACGTGGTAAGAACAAGCATCCGCCGCCACTCCTGCTGCTACCTCACACTCAGATGGATGCAAGACGGAAATATTTCAAGTGCTTTTCATTCAGCGTTTATTTAGCTACCCAATATACTAAAATATCACAGGGGGTTCAAAAGTACTGCAGTAAAACTTGTGTTTCGTCTGGCAACAGTTTATTTAACCTTAACTGATGCAGACGTTGCATCCTGTCTTCATGTAAAAGTATAGCTCTGTTCTTAAAGGGTTAAAATATCCCTCTAAATAAAATCAACAAAACAACGTGTCAGGAAAATGGTTTTTAATGATTGTGATTGGATTTAACATACATTTTTTTTATTATTAATTAAAGCAAATTAAAAAAAATTGTGACATCAAGGCCCTGTTCATATCTGTCCTGGACAATCAGATTAGCTCTGATGGAAGCATTCACACCTGGCAGGTAAATACGTATCCCAAACATTTTTGCAATTGGATGTCAATTAAACATGTCTGCTGATGATTCTTTAAAAATTACTATACTTTCAAACATCTCAACTGTGTTATCATTTTAACGTTCTAACGGTTCAGAGCCATGTGAGTCACATTTGTGTTAGCTTTATCTCTTGATGCGTTTCATTACCTAACAGACACAGTATGATAACAATAAAAGTAATTAGTGTCCTCAGGAAAGACTGAAGATAAAAGAAAAATAAAGTCCACAATGTTCTGGCGTTCCTCAGCTGTTTTCTCTACAATTTAACTGTGAAGGTGACAACGTGTTTAATTATGTGCACACAATTCAACCTAACACTTCTTCTAGTTCTCAGACACACGTGACAGTGACCACTGCAGGTCCAATCAGCTCTAAAAACAATCAGAACAAACTAAAGAGAAACTCATCACACAGCATCCTATCTACTCTGATTTTTTTTTTTTTAAGATAAAACAGACATTTTTATTGAAAAAGATTTTGATTAACGCTTTTTAAAAACTGTTGTCCAAAAACCCAACAATGTTCAGTCATGTCACCTGGACAGTTTCTTTTTTTTTTTTGTTGAGAGATGTTTCGTCCTCCATCCAAAGGGCTTCATCAGTCTGAGGAATCACAAACTGTTTTCCTCTCTAAGCGGTACACTCCTACAGTGGACCAACCAGTTTGCTGGTGACAAGATGGTTTCTGGGGGCCGTCCTCTCCCCCGTCGACTCCTCACAGGCAACACAGCCAAAGAGGTTCAAGACATCAAAGTTCATGCTCAGTAATCCAGGTTAAAAAAAATCCAACAGTGTTCAGTCAGGTCATCTGGACAGTTTATTTCTGTGAGCCAAAAACAAATAAAAAAACAGTGCATCATCAGGATATTCCCAAGGACGACTTTATAATAATATTTGATCAGCTGACCGCTGAAACTAACTTCTTTTATTCACTCAACACATCTGCTGGCTTCCTTCCCTAGATAAATGACGTTACTTTTTTTTATGCATTTGAATGTTTTTGTGCAGTGCCCTGAGATAACTTCTGTTGTGACTTGGCACTATATATATAATAAACTGAACTGGATTATTTTTTTTACCCAGAGATGTTCAGATAATAACTCAGCTGTTTGTGTGGGCTCACATCAGTTCAGTAGGAGGCTCAGGATGGATTGTGTTCAGTGTTCAGACTTACACCGCCTATGAAGTTGATCCGAGTGAAAATGCTTTTGATGCACTGAGGCCATTTACACCTGTAATCAACGCTACTTCACTGCAAATCAAATTGCTAAATAAAGATGTAGCTTAACTCTGATCGGTGTCTAAAACTGAGTTTTGTTTCTGTATGCACAAAAACAAACAGAATTTAAGGTATTTGGGACAAAATATGTACAGTGTAGCTATAAGAAAACCACATTTGTGTGAAGCTAGTTGATATAAAATACTTGTTTTGCAAGATTGGACTCTGAAGCGGTGATTTGTCCTGCACCAGAAAGTTTGGATGCATCAGGATATGAAGAGTGGTTATATAAAACGTGTGTGTGCAGTTTTATGATCTGGGGCTGCTTCACATACCATGTCCTTGTTCAGCAATGTGATACAGCCAGAAAATAAAGTCAGGTGACAGCCTGAATAAGTTTAAATCAATAGTTCAATTTTTCACAATGACAATACCAGGGTTTGTTGTTTCCAAACTAGTTCAGAGAGCAGGAAATGTGTGTTTTACTCGGACTGGCTCACAGCACAGTCAGACCTTGGGAAAACGTGGGATGTGCTGGAGGACACGCCATCTTTCCTTTCCCAGCCTCATTACAAGATCTTAGCTTGAAAAAAATTAACGTTTTGATGTTGCATAAGCTCATCAAAACATTAGCTAAGGGAACAAATGCCACAAATCAAACTAAAGGTCACACAAAATACTGAGACTTTCTTGACTAGACGATGTAAATCTTTCGTGAAACAAATCAACAAAAGACAAGTTTATTTTCTGGAGTGCCTTCCTGTTTCATTATTGCCTGTATTTACCTACACTGAGAGTAAAATAAGTTGTGATTTCTACGTTTCCCAAAAACAAGATTAAACCGGAGTATGAGGAAAAACTACCCAGCGTGCCTCACGTTGAAGCTGAACCTGTTTTTGTTTCTCCAGGGTTCAGCTGGCTGATCTGACTCTGCTGGTTGTGGACTCCACCTGCGTCCCCTCTGACGTACAACGAGCTGCAGACTTCCTCTCAGACCACCTGAGGACTGTGTTGCCCTCCCTGACACAGCCCGAGACAGGTATTATATTTGATTCTTAACAGGTCTTTTACTGGTCTGTATGGTTGAAATAAAAATATTTTTGGAATATTTCAATTTATGTCTCATGGAGCAGAGTTTGACTATGTTTATAGGAATCCACCTTTTCTGTTGTACACCTACTGTGTTCAATAAAAGCAGTGCAGTAATTCTAAATATTTGCTCCACAAGTCTCACTGAGACTCTGCAGAACTAAAATAAAGAATGCAACGAAGTATCTGAAGTTTGTTTTGTTAGTGAGCTTGAAGTCCTCTCAGTGAGTCGGTGTGTGATTTGCTTATTTACCACGTCAAACTGCAGACCGGTGTCTCCTGGTGCTGAATAAGACTGATCTGTTACCTGAGGCTCAAACGGAGAAGCTAAAGCAGGAGCTGAGACGGGTCTCTGGACTTCCTGCTGTGTGTCTAATCTCCTGTCAGACCAACGAAGGACTGAAGGACTTCCTCACTGAGCTGCAAAACAATGTCAACACTCTGTGAGTACTTTTTTTAATCAAGATCTTTAAACCTAGTTGTTATTAAAATGGTGTGTCTCAGTCTGATCTACAAACTAAACCATAAACCTTAATGAGTGTTTTGTTGCTCTTTTTGTACTCTTTACGTCCTCTGTAGGTGTGGTGACCCTTTATCAAGTGCCCCCACCTTGACCCAGGCTCGCCACAGGGCCCATCTGCAGCAGTGTGTGGCAGCCCTGGTTCAGTACCAGCAGTTCAGAGACTTAGACCTCGCTCTGGCAGCGGAGGGCGTCCGCTTAGCCCTCACCAGCCTTGGGAGGATCACTGGTCGGGTCGGGGCGGAGGAGATCCTGGATATCATCTTCAAAGACTTCTGCATTGGAAAGTAGAGAACATCAAGTCCAGTAATCAGTCCGCGCAGAGAGGAAGACTCTCCAGTCTCACAGTACGAGTGAATAAACTGGAACACAAAGGGCACACCGCTGGCGTTTTGCCCGGCTGATATCTGCGCTCTTGGCTGCAGCGTTCTTCTCCTGAGGCCAAAAAAAATGTTTGCTTTGGCTTTTTTTTTTTCTGGCTGAAATAGTTTTAGGACGATGACAGTGCCTCAGGGGCCCAATATACTGAACAAGTGTTCGGCAAGTGTTAAGTCATCTTCTGAAATGTTTTCCAGACCTTTAATGGTTGAGCATTGTTCTCCAGAGGTACAAATTTATTGTTAAAACATTTTACATTAGGTCAGCAGCTGACCTCTCCGAGGAATATTCAGAGGTCAGAAATGTTTTTTTTACTTTTTCTGCTGAAATGTGTTTTAATGTTTCCTTAACTGAAGGTGGGGGAGGCGGTACAGTTTGCTGATATTAACTGAAAGAAAAAGCTTAACATCTGTAAAACTGACTGAGTTGAAGCCATTTTTGTGTTTGTAAAACTGCTTTGTTATGGCAGCCATCTTGAATCGGGTTGAACCAAATATTAATCAGCTGTAGACCCATACACCACAAATTAACCCTCTGTCTCGTAAGATAATTGATTTATTTTAAAGTGACTGAATCAGTGAGGGGTTTGTTTTGTTGTTTTTGCTCGTACAAGTTCA